CTGCATGCAGCAGCAGCACAGTAGAGACACTGACAAGTTAGTCGGCAAGTTATTGCTAAAAAGGAGGTGTTTGGTACATATGCTTGAGCTTGGAAGTGGAATGACACTTGGCACCATAATGTCCCAGTTATCTTTTTCTGAAGGAGTAGGAAAACTGCAGAACTAAATATTGAGTCAAGCTGCGTGGGCAGAGCTCCTGTGTCAGAGCTGCGCTGACGTCACAGCCACAGCGTGACATCACGGGCTGTATGTGAAAAACCCAGAGCATCACCCAAGCTCTATGTGCTACTGAAAACCTCAGTAACATTTATTGAAAACTTACATGGAGTTTTTATCCCTTTTCTCATTCCCTTCATGCTGAGAAGTTTAGCCACACAGCTAAGGGGAGAGTGCAGCTCAACTGCCTTGCAACACCATGTGCTGCTCTGAGAAAAAGTGCCATTGCAACCAGAGCTTGAACTCTTACTGTGTGCCCTTCCTAAAAGTATCTACAAAAATGAGGTGATGTCAAAACAGTGTTTCTCTACTGAAAGCTGGGGTGATACTCAAGTCTACAACTTCTGCAGTAGCTTTCTGTGATGCTCCTGCTTGCTGTCCTCTGCCCAGAGAACAATCAGAGTTACTATTACTGCATGTGCGTGCAATAATTAATGTGGCATGGAAAAACAGAAGGGCAGACACTGGAGTTCTTTAGATTTATTCTTTAATAATAGAAAATGTGATCTATGAGATTTTTGCCAAAACTTCTTTCATCTCTGATAGTATCAAAAAGGCAGTCATTTTTGATACTATCAGAGATGAAAGAAGTGGTCTCTCTGGTTCTCCCACAGTGGTCTCTCTGGTTAGTAGGAAGCAAATGAAATTATGGCATCAATGGAGTGTGTGTGGGTTTTGATTTTGGAGTGGTTATATTTTCCCCATCCTGCAGCTGCTTTAATGAGGGTAATGACTTTATTTGGTTTTCCTCTATAGCTCTGCAGTGCTCAACAGCTTGTTACCGAGGGACCTACACCAGGAGTGCATGGAAATCCAAGTTAGTGAAAGACATGGAAAAACATGTTCAAACAGATCACAGCTGAAGCTGAGACCTTAATCTTCCTGAGACAGAAGGTAGCCAGCACAGGCTCAGCTGTTCCATCAGGAAAGGTTAGTGTGAAGTACCAAGCCTAGCTCACTGCTAGAGAAATGGTGCAGAAAATCAGGTAACAGCAGTTTAGTTTCACACCCGAGCATATGAGGAGTGGCCTCTCTCTGCAAGAGACTGCAGCTTGGCAAAAATAATGTGTTTGCATGGGGGTTTGCTGCTGGCAGTGGCACTGAAAGTGCAGTATTTCTCCAAATGACTTAAGGTAAAGTCGGATATGGAGGGTTCTTATGCAATATGAGAGTTCCCCTTTCGAAACAGTGGTTTGGAGAGAAAAAGTCATTGGTCTGGGCTAGGACAAAAATTAAACAAGATAAACAAGGATGGGCTGCTGCCATCTTCTCCTTTATCTCTAAACCTTAACCTTAAACTGCAAATTTGGGGTTAATGCAGTGCAGTGTGTCTGCAACTGCTAAAACCAGCTATGTTTTAATAGATCTGACTTATTTCAATGATGATGAAGGTTTTAAAGTTCCTCTAGGTAACAGAAATATTTCTATGCTTTTAAAGTTCAAATGCAAGTATTTTTAATATTACTAAGAATATTTTCAAACATTTAATTAATTATTTACTTATTCTGTGTCCTTGTTTCTAATCCACAGAACATAGAAATAAACTTTATTTTAAAAAACCTGTCCAATTTTTGCTAACATATTATTTTTCTTTAATATCAGCTAAAAAGAGAGGAAGTGTCAATTCATAAAAAGTAGAGCTAACCACACAATTTTGATAGCAGGTCACTTGCCACTAACAAGTACTTCAGCACTCTGCAGAGCTCTGAGTAGCTGTAGAATGTACTGTGGAAACAGGGACCACAGCAATAAATTGGGATGGAAAAATATTTGCTTGAACTTCACGAAGAAGAAGCTGCTTTAGTGATACAGAAGAAAATGTATCAGTTCCTGACTTGCATTTTGGCCTGTACTATACATAGCATTCTGAAAAACTAATCCTTCAATGATGTGATGGGGACTTTATTCCATAAATACCAGATTAGATCCTGTCCTATGCACTGATTTATCCAGCCAGTTAAATTATGGCAGGGGAGGAGTGGAGCAATTCTGGACTGTACATCATTCAGCAACTCCTTCCAGTACACGTGATCCTTCTTTTAAATAATGTGAGAGTTTGCTGGGGTTTTACCCAAATATGACCATCCTGCTTTTCAAACAACTTGGTTCTGACAGGAACTTTGTTCTGACAGATTCTTTTTGAAGGGGATGTCTTAACCCAATTAGCTTCAGGCTATCTTCCTGTGATAATGTCTTCAGGGGCCACATGCTGGTTGGCTGAGTCAGTGACACTGTGTTTTCCTGTGCTCAGTAGGAGTGCAAGACTCTGAACCAAGTTGGGCTGGATGGAGGATATCAAAGACCTGGAAATGTGGAAGAATGTGTTGAAGATAAGGCTAGATTAATTCTCAATACTTTAAGCCTTTGTTAAGAAAAGCTGGGCTCTTGGGGTTTTTTTGTTTGGTTTGGTTTGGATTTTTTGTTGTTTTTTTTTTACTTTCTGTATCTGTGACTAACCCCAAACACAGCCACTCATATATAGAGGAGGAAAACTTAATATTCATTGAAATTTCACTGAGGTGCTTTTTGGCAAGTCTGAGATGTGTACTAAATAAATCCAATAGGATGGTAATGATTGTTACAGGACCCCTCAGAGCATGTTTTTCATCTCACTTTTCATCTCTGATACGTAGATTATGAATATAAGAGCCTGCCTTGTATTGGGAACTCTGACAGGTGAAAAGTGCTCTCTGTTTGTAGCACATGCAGGGCTCTGACCTCTGGCATGCTTTTCGTCCCTCAAACTCTGCTAAAAAGTGCTTAAAGAAATACAAAGTACTCACTGAGACTCAAAAATGTGACCAAGGTAGAAGCTATGGTTCTCTGAGGGGTCTCTATATGGTTTTCAGTTTCCCCCAAAAGCTGAAATTTCAGTTTAAGGATGGCCTCAGAAACAGAGATCATGGGGGGCTTGTAGAAATCTCAATAAGCCTCCAGAAGGACTACAGCTGTTCTAAGGAAAGAGGCCACTCTCTCTTGGATTGCACTGCAAACTGCAAACTGACCCAACCTGAGGGATGGAAAACCAGCAGTGCTCCTCAGAGAGGCCTGGATTGCTCCTGTGCTGCACCAATTTTAGGGCCACAGCACATGGGAGAAGTGAGGGCATGACTGCCATGAGCTGGGACGTGCAGGCCAGCTGTAATCAGGTAATCTGTGCTCTGAGCAGCTCCTGTCACAGAACACCCGTCTACCAACAAAGGCATGCACAGCACTGCCCAGCCCTCGATGTTTGAAACTTCCCCTGGGTCCATAGGGAAGGGCCTCCACATCCAGAGCGTGTGGCATAGGTGTAAAGGGAGCACTGGGCTGGTGGAAAGGGCACCACCAGTGGTGTAACAACTCTGATAATGGGCTGCCACTCCAGCTGTTCTGGGATTAATGCTGTTACTGAGTTTAGAACTGATAAATGAAACTTGAAACTCAATTTATGCAGAAATAACTGCTTAAACCTAGTTATTTCTTGTTTCCTTGTGCACGTGGCTTTTCTAGGCTGTCTGCTTTTTCCACAGTAACTTCCAAGCTCTGCTTGGGCAGGGATTGTCACCTCCCAGCATGGCACTGATCACAGAGGTAGGTATCCTCCAGGCAGGGCTGCTGGATGCTTTCTAATCCAGCAGTGAGAAAAAACACCCACCACGAGAGAGTCTGCAGTGCTTCACTAAATAATTAATAGGTACTAAAGTTTCCAGGACTTCAGAATCACATGGACTCCGACTTTTCATGCCATGCTGTACAGTGTTTAGGCAAAAGGTTAAAACCATACCTACTCTAAAACAAATCTACACCAAAACATGGAGGCAGAAAGACAGACAGAATTAGTAGTACTGCTTCCTCCTTTAATAGGAGTCAAGCTGAGACAGAGAGTTTATAAGTATTTTCTTTTTAGTTTTTTTCCTTTCACGTGACTTCTTGTTAGAAGGCTGGAAACAGACTTCTGTTAACTTTTGGTTATTAAAAATCAAAAAGCAGTCTTAGAAAGAAATCAGGGTCTGACAACCCAGCAGGGTAATGGGAAACTTAATAAATATCCTGTTGTTATAACATCTGTCATTTTAGCATTAACAAGCTCATGACTTTAGCTGTTGTATGATCACAGTTCCACTCTGCAGATTAAGGGAAAGGCTGCTAGACCTCTAAAGTAAAAGATTTCTGCCCAGCAGGGTGCTTTAACCTCTTGTATCCTGAAGCAATTTAGCTAAAGCAGCTTGAAAGTGATATAGAGATAGACTCCTGTGCAGGTCAATTAGGAGGGATACAGAAGCAGTTGAACTCAAGGGTTTTCCTGATTTTGTTCTCTTTGATGTCCAGAAGAACTAGAAAAAAAACTCAAAAAACAACAAAAAAAAAACCAAACAAAAACCAACCAAGCCCAAAAGAATGTGGTGGGATTTTGTGTTTTTTTTTTCCTTAATTTGGTCACACTTAGATTTTCTTAAAAGTTGTAGAGAGGAGATTTAAGAGAGTGTCTTATTAAATGAATAAACATCACTGCAGCAAAGCTATGGTAGCTGCCCATTGCTTGTAAGACAGTAGATATATGTCAACCACAAACACAGAGTGGTATTTTGGTTCATTTAAAACAGGCCTATGTAAGAACCAGAGCAACTGCACAAATACTGAACTCCATACAGCGTCTCTCACCACCTGTTTCTGAGATTTCTTTAGCCTGTTGACTCATGTTTTTCTTTTCTGGAAGCTAAAGAAAATGCCTGCCATGCTGAAAATGCTCCTGGTTTGGTTTAAATCTCAGATTAAGTTCATCCAGAACAGTTCCATGGTGATAATGTTTCTGACTTCTTTATTTTTTGCTTTTATGTGTCAGGTGGTGAAATGAGAGCCCTCCACGATCTGCATGCAGCCAGTGCTTCCCTGGTACACAGCTTCTCGCGCAGGCAGGAGCAGAGGGGCTGAAAGAAAGAAGTTGTCTTGCTGCTCATGAGGAGTCTGTAGCGTGTTGGGTGTGAGCAAGAGCTGTGGAGCTCAGTGGAGAGTAAATCCATCTTGTCCCAGCTCACTCAGTTGTCCTCTCATTGTCCTCTCTCAGGGCAAGGAAGCACCACATGCAAGGCACAGCCACCTCCAGGACTGCTGGCAGTCTACAGAAGTATCATAAATGTATTGTGGACCTCATTGTCTCACAGGACATAAGGATAAACAACCACATTCCCACGTGCTTAGATGCTTTAGAAAGCCCAGAGGCATCAGCAGCACTCCCAAGTGCCCAAAGCCCCTGTGTACTTTAGACAAGTGAGCTTGCATAGGATTTAGGATCCTTAAAGCACATTTGTTTGCTTTACATTGAGATTGTCTTGAAAATGCTACTATTCTGTTTGGGGAAAAAAATCTGATGTCTACAGCAGAGATGCCGTGTCACGTGGCATGACTGAGAAGGCCAGACCTGATTTAGGGCACTGGGGCACCCAAAGCCCTTGCTCAGGTCTTTTGTAAGCAGATGGTTTACCTTGTGCACTTTCAATTTCTATTCCTTTTAGTGATGCTAAGGCAAGAAGAGAAATCCATACCCTCCCCCCAAATTTTGAAAATACCAGCACAAACATTTCAGTAGCTGGTGGTTCACGGCAGAGACAGACTTGAGGGATGATGACATTTTGTTTTGTAAAATGCTTTAACTCCCTAAAATAGTTATTCAAAAAAATCTGACTCCAAACCACTTTCTGTTTTGAAATACGTTTTTAAGTGAAATTACATGTTCAAGTTCTCTCAGTGTTTTTAGTAGAACAAAACATTTGGACCCCAGTAGTTTTTACTAAAAGCTTTCAGAGCTGCTAACATCTAGAAAGTCTGTTTTTGCATGGGGCTAATTAGAGCCCGTAAAAGAATAAGAGAAATTAAACCAAATAATGCAGCTCAACTGCAGTGCTAAGATCTTGCAATTAAACTGTGCTGTTGGATTACACGTATTAGCACATGAATTACTCTTTAAGTGATAAATGTTGAACCAAATAATTATCTAAAGCTTTGGGAAGGAATAATCAATAAGGTTAGGCTGAGAAAAGACAGTACTTAAAAAAAAACCCAGTAGGATGGCTTGATGAGAACACAATAAATTGTTCCCTGTGAATGAACTGACAGGTTAGTCCACATTTCTTCTTTTTGAAATAGGGGTGGCACCTTATGTTATCTTTTTTCCCTTTAAAACCAGGCAAAAAAAAGAGAATAATCAAAACCTTGAGGAACACCTACCCTCTCTCCAGAGGTGGGTGGCAAAGACCCACGGAGGCGCTAATTTACCTCCTCCTCCTCACTGCAGCAAAGAGGCGGCTGGGAAGAGCAGAGGGGAGCGTGGCTGTGCCGGGATCCTGCTCTCCCTTGGATGCCAGCACAACCTTGCTGACATTTCAGTCTCAGAGAGGGTTTGTAGGCCTGGCTGCCTCTGCGATCCTCACACTTGGCCTCAGTCTTTGTGCGTGGCCGAAGTCACCTCGCAAGGCTGCAATCCTTGTGCCCAGCTGTGCTGGGATGGCCATGGATGGGTGCCAGGGTACAGATTACAGAGGTCTGGCTGCCGGGGAGGGGGCCAGCCCCGCACTTATCTCACCAAGCGGCCCGGCGCACCCTGCCTCTCGCCGGGCCTGAGGCAGCGCGGGCAGCTCCGCGCCGGGGCTGGAGCTGGAGCAGGCCCTGGCCAGCAGCGGTGCCCTCACGGCAATTCCCTGAGCCTTCCAGCACTGCCCACTCGCCCAGGAGGTTTTATCCCAGCCCCCATGGCAGAAAATGGCCAGGGCAGTGCCCACAGGATCAGTCCCATTTTCTCCTGCCGCTGAGTCCCTGTCTGGAGCTGCCCCACAGCTGCTCCAGCAGGCGCCACTGCCGCTGTGCCTGAGGAGAGGCCACCGAGGAAGCAGCGTGAGGGGTTTTGTGGCAAATGGAGCGACAGCGAGGCTTGCCACAGGGCCACTGCAGCACCCCAGTGAGGAGAGCCATTGCCCTCAGGCTATTAAAATGCTATTTGCTGAAAGGAAACCGCTCCGGCCGCATGCACCCAACTGCGGCGTCCAAGCAGCGCTAGAATCGCCGCCGCCACAAGAAAGCCGGCGGCCCGCATTAGCAGGGAAATCCATCTTTTACAAGAGCCACAATGGACCATTAGCTTTTAATCAGGTTTTAGGGGTGGGGAGCAGCTTTCCTGTTGGGCGAACCCTAAGAAGGAAGTAAGTGGCTCCAAACATCCAGGGGCGGTGGGGAGCTGGGAGCCAAGCGGGCTCAGAAGCGCGCAGCTGGAGCTCGCTGGTACAATGCAGGCAGCCCTCGCGTGGATGGGCCGCTGGCCGAGCCGCAGGGAGCTGCCCTTGTTTGTTTGTTCCTACGGCACAGGCAGAGACAAGGGCCCTGTTTTATGTTCCCCTGCAGGAAGGTGATAGAGTGCCCGGGAGCTGCTGGAATCCATTCTCCAATAAATTCAAAGGGAAAGGCCATTTTTTTTGTGCCCTGGAAACTTGTGAGGGCTGAGGGATGCTGGAAGGCAGTAAAAACGGAGGCAGTGCATCGCACTCCAGTGTGGAAGGAAGCCACCAGAGCAATTTTTCTGGTTTGTTTTGTTGCTTGTTCTTTTTTCGCCCTCAATGATTTTTACTCTGCCTGTGGCTAAGCAATCAATATCTCTTTGCCAACAATAAATATTCCAGGCTTTTAAATGATGATGTATTCCAGGGTGAAACAAATTAGGTGCGTTATTGCTGCCCTCTTGTACTCAAACTAATTCTGTGGGTCCAAATGGAAATTCAGGGAGAGATTCCTGAACCAGGCTCACCGGTGGCAGCAGATCTGAACAGGTCTGGCTTCAGCTGTCAGCTCTGTTGCTGATCTCTCTTCTTTCACTGAGATGAGCAGAAATTCAGGAGAGCTGTGTGAGTAGCTCCGCAGGCTGAATCCATCAGGCAGATGCATGCAGCTGAGCATGAGCCTGCCTGGAGCACTGCAGTGCCCTTGTTTCCCTAGGCAGGAGGCTGCAGAGCTGGATTGGTGTGTCAAGCACAGCCCGGGCTGAACAGCACCGGCCCAAATGCTGACCCTGGGGTGCCACACCAGCAGAGACTTCAGCTCTGACCTCTTGGTGCAGTGGCTGGTCAAGGAGTGTTTCCCAAGCTACTAAAAACAGTCCTTCCCTTTCGATACCCACACAGGGAGCCAGGTGGGAATCTGTTTGGAGCCCTGAAAAGTCTGTCAAGTCTGTGACAGCAACCAGTCCTACTCCCATGTGTCCGAGGGAGAGCAAATCAACTTAATTAGGCACCAAGGAAGCAATCTGATTTGCTTCTGGAGTTGGATGATTTGTGCAAATAAATTGTTACAGACCATTTTATTCTCTTTGGTTTCCTGTACTGTTTTGCTGAGGTGGTGGAGGGATTGTGTAGCCACTCCTGCTGTGTTTCCCTATGGCATAAGTGCTGCTTGAACACTCTAGCAGAGAAACTTTATAGGACAGTTCAGGAAACATCTGACTCCATTTCCCACCTACTACTACGAGAGCTCTTGCTCTGAAGGATTAAGATGACTGTGGAAGATGGAGGGCAAAGACACTGGGCATTCTTGCTAGGAGACAATATTGCATAAAAAACCACAGCCAGCCAGAGCAGGTGGACACCTCATGTCAGTGACCATCAGCCCCACTCCCTTATCTCCCAGAACTGTCATCCCCCAGGTCCTAGCTCCTTGTTTATTAGGGGGATGGGGAGCCATGTAAAATGATTTCTCTCTTCTCTCCTATTTTCTTCAGGGGGAGGGTGCTGCTGTTTTAATAGTGGCAATAGTTCTCGTGCATTAATCCTCATCAGCTTGTTTGTGCATACAGGCAAAGCATGATGGGCTTGACATTTGCCATCAAGAAAATGAAATCCTCCCAGCTTCAGGTCACCCTGTCCTGGTTTTCTACCAAATCTTTTCAAATCAACAGCCATTTCATCTCCATAAGCTAATAATAACCCTTGCAAAGCCTGTGAATCAGCAAAAGGCTCTCCACAGCTGCAACTGTCAGCAAAACAGGAGCTAACACTGTGGAGGGGTGGATGTTGAAGGAGTTTCAGCCCTGGCCTGTGGTAAGTCTTAGGCAGCATTTGCTGAGCCAGACCCATCTCAGGGCTCTGCCTCTGTGCCCTCCACCATGCTTGTGGTTGTCATTTGTGTGAGGAGTGAGTGGCAAAAGACCAGGGTGCACAAATAAGTACCAAAGTCTTTACTTATCCTTCCTCTCTAAGGAGAGTGCTCTGGATGCCAGAAGAAGCCAGCTTTGTGTCTCCTACTACAACAGGAACCAGCTCTGAAGAAAATCTGCATTGGTGTCTGGTGGGAATATCTGGAGCACTGGAGCTTGGCCTGCTGCTTCTCATTGAAATGAGCAGGAATTTTGTCACTTGCTTCTCTGGCCCAAGTCTGCTCCTGTGGCTGGCTAAGTAAAAGCAGGTTCTGTTGCAAGGGTATTTGCAATGGGAATTGCCAGGTAGTGGGCAGGCTGCCTGCTGGGAGACCCTTTGACCTGAGTCCGCTTGTAGTCCTGATGTTCTTTTAGTTTTCCCCTTGTGTTTTGCCCAAGGGAACCTGTAGGTTTGCTGCTGATCAGCAGGCAGTGCATGCAGCTGGAGGCCCAGGACTGAGGATGAACTGGAGAGATAAGCTATCTGTGAGCACAAATGCCTGTCTAGCCCTGTACACCTTGGAGGAAAAAGAAGAATTTCTGAAAAAGACGATCTGTCAAGAGAGGGGCTGGGCAGTGCATGCCTTGTTTCTCACCCTCTTTCCATCAGCACCCACTGCTGAGTCCTTTTGGAGGCAGGCTACAAAAGGAAAGACCTATCAGACCCAGGATGGAAGTCCCTGGTGACAAAACTACAGCGATTTAAGAGCTTATGAACATGGAATGTTCAAATAGAAGAAAGATCATGCCTAGCAGCTAATCCCTGAGACCTTTTAATGACCAGGGCTATTGTGGCTTCCTTCTTGTGACTCCTGGGTCTGGGTACCCTGACATTCCTCCACATGGCATGAGATTTGAAGCACATACTCCACAAGCCAGTCTGCTAGTCAAGAAACAGTGGTTTGGGCAATTTTTCAATCCTCCAGCACAATTTGGAGCATAACTCTCATGGGCTGTAGTGAAACTCCCAGGCAGGCGAGGTGGCTGAGCCAGCAGAGGTGTTGCAAGGTGCATGAGTGCCACTGCTGCAGAAAATGCTGTGAGCAGCCAGTGACTCAGGTCTCTGCTGTATTTCCTAATGAAACTCTGAAGGATCTGGTGTCTTTATTAATCACTACAGCTCAGCTTTCCACTGTTAGTATCTTTCTATGGTTTTGTGTATCTTGGCATTTTTAGATAACCAAACAATTTTTTGAGTGCTCAGATGAGAAAAAACCACTGGTAGCAGACACCCGGGAGGCAGCACCATGGGCTGGGTTAAAACTCCAGGGCTGTTCTTTGTTAAGTTTGTGGTGAAAAGCACAGGACCACTGTACCATCACCATATGGTGCTCCCTATTTCAGGATGAGCCTGACATGGATGAAAAATAAGAGCTGGAATGGCTGAGCAAACAGCTCTGCAGCTGACGAGAGTTTGTTTCCACCACGTTCTGTGGAATTTCTGTGAGTCCAGCAGCTCACAGGATGCATGAATAAGTGTGCTGCACCATTTCTGCTAATTTAGTGTACCACACTCAGCACCTCCCTGAGGGCCTGTATGGAATGAGCTGCATCTACTGCAGCCAAGGGGAGCTGCATCCTCTTGCTTGCTACATTGCTGTTTTGGTGGTACCTTTTGTGTCTGAGAGGTTTAGAAGCACCTGAGCACCCAGAATTTAACACTATGACCGCACCATACGTGCTCTTCTGTGAGCTCAGTCTGGGTGGCTCCCTCTTTGGCCTGGGACATTTTAGGTCAGGTATGTTGCTCTGCCATCAGCTGGTGCATCTGCCTCAAGGTCTAACTTGCTGCACTGCCTACTGCTTTTGTTTGCACAAGTTTTCAAAAGTGTCAGAGTGGCCAGACCTGATGGATTACCTGCCTGAAGTAGGTGGATGATCAGCCAAAGTGTTTGCTTGAGCATATAGATTCCTACTTGTGTTGTGATATTTTAATTACTGAGTTCGGCCTGCAAACTGAATTGGTGAACTCTCTTTGGTATTCTGTGTTCCTGAAGTGAAACCCCTCTGTCTGTGCACTTCCCTCTTTCCTATATAAAGGAAAATAGGATTTTATGCTTGAGTAAATAGAACATAAAGTGCTATCCAGAAGGTCAATTTAATGTGAGATTGCTTTATGCTGATTGGCAAGAATACACTTCTGTTTGTTATTCTTAGGTTTTGATGATATTCTCTTACTGTGAGAAATGAGCACTGCCAAGAAGAGATGCAGACATGGCTTAGCTATGAAGGGGAAG